CCACAAGAGCCCATTTCCTCCTCTCAGCAGCCGTTTCAGGAGGTCCTATGTTTACTCTCATTTTGCTGATGAGGTAACTGTGACAAAGAGACTTAAGTAACTTGTCCAGGTTCACATAAGATGTGGTGAGTTCAGAAATGGGGTCCATGGACATTGAATGAATACCAGGAATGAGGATTAATGACAAGGATCGAAAACTCAGGGCAACAGGCTAATAAGGGCAAGAGGAAAGGTGCATGTTCTGTTGAAGACAAAATCTCATCATAGGCTCTGTGATGTGTGTTGACATAGTAAGGTGGGTGAGCTGCAAACAACTAAGATGATTTTAAGAGAAGAAGTTCACTGATACAGACTCCTCTTGTTCAAGATGTATACTAGGATGAAATGGCTGCAAGTAGTGCTTTGATCCAAATGATAACTCCTAGCACCACCTGTCATTATCAAAAATATTCATGGAGATTTTGGCTTAAAGCAGGGACTAGCAAACCACAGTTTGCAGGCCAAATCTGGCCCGCCCTGTTTTTGTCTATCCAGCAAGCTAATGATTTGTACATTTTTAAATGGTTAGGAAGAAAAGCAAAGAATAATAATATTTTGTGACATACAAAACTTATGTAACATTAAAGCTTCAGTGTCCAAGAATTAAGTTTTATAGAACGCTATCACATTTATTCACTCATATACTGTGAACAGCTGCTTTCAATATACAACAGCAGAGTGGAATATTCTTTGGAGATGAGACTTGGCCTCCAAGCCTAAACTATTTACTATCTGTCCCTTTACAGAAAAAATCTGCACACCCCAAATTACTGAGAATTACTGTATCAGAGCACAGGGGACACGCTGGCAGATTACACCATCTGGGTATACTGGCATAGGCAAACTTCTTCTAGAACTGCAACACTGCGACTACTTTGGTGCTCTGGTGCTGTTCACTATCTTCTAATACTTATTATTCATCAAGCTTCCTTTGTGGTACATATCTGCTACAAAGTGGGCTATATACTTGAGTAACCAGCAAAACTATGGTCTAGATCTATGGGGTGAAGGGACATGCAAGTTGGGAGTGAAGTTGATAGGCATGATCCTTGGAGAAGTGACAGTACCCGCCCTCCGGCCTCTTAAGACTCCCTCCCCGCATAGATGCCCACCTCTTCCTCCTGTAATTGGCTGAGCTGTGTTGGCTCTACATTTAGGCCTATGCACCTCCTCAGAACGTATGCTCCTTGTCTCGTCCTCCCTGGTGGGCACTGAGCATGACTTGTTCATTCTCTGCTTGTGATACCAGCAGGACTGTGGAAAGGGGTTAATTAGCCACACTCAACCTTGGACTAGAATCTTAAAATGTAACTTCAGTTTGTTTTTAAATAAAACAAAACATGTTTACAATGTACTTTATAAAAGATACCATAAAGTGAATTTCTGTTCACTGAGTCTTATTCTGATTTTCAATATAAAATTATTTTCAGTCTAAAATTGATACATTTTCATTGGAAAAGTTTACACCTAAGACATAAAAATCAAACTCAAAAATGCAGCAAGCCATTAAAAATCACATAGGGAAAACCAAAAAGCACTTTAAAAATGAAAGTTTAATAACACCATACACAAAATAAGTCACAAAATGCCACTATCATGCAAAAATAGAAAATGCCATCCAAGAAGGAATTCTTGTGCCTTGAGGACAGCTACACATGAGAAGCAGATGTGTTCTGTGAATTTCCTGACCTTTAACAAAATTTGGCCAAAACAACAGGCAGAATATAGTCATTGCCCTCATCAGTTTATCTGCAGAGAATATAAATACTGTTAACTGTCAAGATTTTGAAATCAGAAGGAAGAAAGGGAGAGAAGCCTCAGAGCCTGGGTTCACTCCAACTTCACAGCCAGGGCCAGCCTTGGAGTGTGGCCTGTGCTGAGAACTGGAGAAGGGGGACGGAAAACACGATTCCTGTAGAAGTGTCAGGGTGGAATGAGCTCAGCCATGGAAAGCAGCATTCAAACTGGGATGCAGGATGAAATGAAAAAGTCTGGGATGATGTACAACTTGAGATACCAGAAAATAAGGAACGAAAAGGCAGATGATGGGGGAAAGCACCCTAGAAAGGGACTGATGAGTGTTCTCAATTTGTGCCAGAAGAACCTAGCAACAAGCAACCCTGATTGTAAAATGCCTCGAGAGCACAGAGTTTATACTCTGAAAGTCCCTCATGTGAGAATAAAGCTTATTTGTGCACCAGAACTGACTATTTGTGTTGGACTGGGACTGGAAGAAAGAAAGGAAAATGAATTAAAAAAGAAAAAGCAGCAGTGGGAGGCCAGGACCAGAAGGGGACTCCAACAGGACAGCTTCTCTTTTCGTGCACAGAGGTGTCAGATTTGGGATGGCCCTACCCCTCTTCCTTGTCAGTCCCTTCTTCCCTGACCATGGAGGAGGTCCCTGGCCAGGTGAAGCCCTCTCTGTGCTCTGATGCCTAGCACGACTGAAAGAGGGCTATGGAAAAGGTCACCAGGGAGGCTAGGCAATTCTTCCTGTCAGAGGATCTGGACCTGTGGTGGCCTGAGGCACACTGATCAATGTGATGTTTCTGAGAGGCAGCTGTCAGTCTCCCTGGGGTTACTTTCTTGGGGGTAGGACCCTGGACACTGTCTCCTGGGCTCTAGGGAAGCACTACATTTGTTTAGCAGTTTTTCGGGTATCCTATCACATCTCATTAGAAGGTCCTGAGGCAGATTTTCAAACTGATGACATCTGGGAAACTAAGGCTTAGGTTAAGAGGAGAGATTTTACAGACTTACAAATTACCAGGGAAGGTATGGAGAACTTAACATAAGGTTGTTAATGTTTAAAAGGAACTGGCTGGTTACTTAAGATTTTCAGAGAGAATTGCAGAATCCTTAGGGGATGGTGAATCTGGCCCTAGAATTTTAATAAATACTTAATACTTCCTTTGTTACTCAAGACAATTATTCCTTAAAGGGACACTTATTTCCAAGAGAGCTCATATAATGTACTTCCTGGTTCCTAAGAGAAAGGATGAACAAGCAGCACTCTGCTGGTCTGGGGAGCTCTCTAGAGTTACTTTTGACTGTTGCATAATGCCTACTAGTCTGTGGACATTGGCTATTAAGAACATTTTTGGTACACATCCATGATACCTCATCTATAATTCCAAATTCCAAAGAGCTCTGAAAGCCAACTTTACAGGTGGCAATATATAAACTTCTTGGTCATAGAACTTGATTTGAGGCTATTTACAGTCTTCATTTATCCTTAGCGTGAATATTCATGTTTTATTGAATTAATAAGAACGTGTCTGAGGTACTCTCCTTGGGTAGCATACGATACACGGCGAATACATTATCTTACTTTCTAAACTCCAAAACGTTCTGAATTCCACAACACATCTTGCCCCAGGGGTTTTGGATAATGACTTGTGGGCTTATGGCTACCTCTGGCTTATGAAGAACTGCTGGGCCAGATATCGCCGACTAAATCCAACCCCAGACAGTCACACAGATCCATTAAAGTGGAGTGTGTGAGATATCTGGGGCTAGGGAACAGCAAGGAGACAGGAGTATCCATCAGGACCATGGTGGCTGAAGAGGTGGAAGTGGTTACTCTTTGATGTGACAGACTGCCTTTGTTACTCTTCAGACTTGGGCTCAATGGTGCTTTTACTGATTTCTCCAGCTCTGGGTCATGGTTCCTGAAGGTAAACAGGCCAGCACCATGAGGTTTAGCTGGAGACGCTGGATTGACTCTTGGGGGAGTCAAGCGGCCTGGCTAGAATCAGATGCCACTGATGCCTGTAACTGCCTACAAAGTTATAAACTGAATTTCAAAAGCCAGCTTACCTTTGACTGCAGTTGGGATGAAGACTCCCTGAATTTCAAAGCACAGCTCTGAATTCAAGGAGTCTTTGTCCCAACTGCAGTTTCTATCCCTAGGAAAGTTTGAAAACTCATGTACATTTCTCTACCATGGTAGCATCCACAGCAGCATTAGCAGCTTGTATGTCTTTCAAACCAGATTCTAATTTTGAGCGTGGGGATCATGTCTTATTTGTTCCCATGTCCCTGGCTCTCAGCACAGTGTACACAGTATGCATCCAATACACACTGTAAATGGATGAAAGGCCTGCCTAAGAGCTACATTTGTCTTTGTCCTGACTCCTACATCACAAACAGATACAACAGAGTGCAGCTGGACAGTTACATGGAGCTGTGTCACATATGCATGAGAGTGCTAAGTATGGATAGGAGAGCATGTAGGCCCCAATTTGACATTTATTTTTAAAATTAGCTTCCTTAGAAATCACCAAATTTCTATTAAGTTTAACTTACACTGCCTACCTGAGGTAGAAAAAGAAGGTATATTGTTGATGGGAAGAAGGGATGGAAAACTTAATAAAATGTCTTATTATGTAACGATCTCACAAGGAGTAAAAGAATTTGAGAGATGCAAAGAACTCCAGAAATCACCAAAAGCCTATAGCATTTATGTGGTTGGTCCAAAGACATCTATATATGTTGTCATGATCAAGACTGGGACTTACACCATGTGTCCTAATTCCTAGCTTGTCACTAAGTCTACACTAAAAGTCAGACTAAAGATGTAGGGCTGTCATCATTCTATAAGACCATCCTACTTCTCATGGCACTTCCTTCAAACGGAAAATTTAAAAACGTAACACAGCAAAACCTCATCAGTATGCCCATATATGATAATCTGTCCAACCTGACAGACTGATTAATAAATGAAAAACTTGTTTAATAATCAATTAGCAAAAACAAGCATTGTTATTTAAGAACCAAAATCTGCTAGTATTCACAAATGCTCATTCACACATCAGACCGCTTACCAAATTAATTAACGTGAGGTTTTACTGTGTATAAAACAAACAGACACATAGAACACTTTATTGTGAGATGTTTCTAGAAGCCCACATACTAGAAATGTGAAAACACAGTTTTGCAGGGAAACAGAAAACACTTACCACTGCTAGCACTTCCCTCTCTTTTGCCACGGGAGCCCCCACTGCCATCTCTGCCAGACTTTATGCGCTAGAGCAATGAGAAGACAAGTTTAAAAGAATAAATGATATTCCTTCAAAGTTGAATATAGATAAAGGTGGATTTTAAAATTAACATTACTATCTATATAACCCTTAGGACTACATACCTGAGAGTTAATTCTACAGGAAAAAAAAGGCCTGAGTTGTTTTGTAAGTGGAGGGTTCAAGGCTCTTGAGAAAACTCAGATGGCACTTTAATTCAAAAGTGCAGTGTAACCTTGGCTTACATCAACAACTCAAAACCAAACAATATTTTCTTGATGTGAACATTAAGGGCTTAAACATGACCTTTAGTGTAAGGGAAGGGTAGGTGAGGAGGGGAAGGGAATCTACAAAAGGGTCATTTCCTGCCATCAGTCCTCATCTACAGTGGTTGGACCTGAACTATTTGAGAGTTAAAAAAAAAAAAAAGGTAACCTGAGTTTCGAAATTCAATTTATAAAATAAAAGTATGATTAAAATCTCACAAAATACCTAAATCTGTCCAACAGTTCACTTTGTTAGATGCAGACCCGCCTTCAGAGCATAAGAAGTATCTCCATGCTGTGACATTGTTAGGTTTCTTTCTATATTATATGGTTCTTTTGTGTTTTGTCTAAGTATTAGAATTTTTGTATGAACACTGGATCTGCCTCAAGTCACACTGTCAAATTTTCATACATATAATGGTTCATTTATACAGCTATAGGACGATTAGTAAACAGAGATAGATGGCTTTTCTTATTTATCATTAAATTAAAACTTCTTAACATAGGTGGATATTTTATTTAGATATTCAATAACATAAATATAATTTCATATTTAACTCAAAGGACAAATTATTTACTTCCTTAACCCTGACAACTGCCCAAATATTTATAAATTATCAGGTCATGGATAATGTTATTGCCCTTGGTCTGCTAGGAAGAAAAAAATTCTTTTCAATAATTCAACACATTTCTGTAAGATGCAATACTCTCCTAACACCCAGGACTGCCAAATGTTACACAAACATACCCAACTTTCTTCCATTAAAAGGAAAAGAACTTCCCTTAAAACCCCATCTTTCTCCTTGCCTTCACAGATGAAAGAAAATCTTAAAAAGATGTAGCAAAATAAGAATTTAAACATCCATAATCTGATTTTATTTCAAAACTTGATTTTCATCTATCCATGGACTGATCATCTCCGGCATATCAAAAAGATGTACAAATGCTGAAAATAGGGCAGGCGCAGTGGCTCACGCCTATAATCCCAGCACTTTGGGAGGCCGAGGTGGGCAGATTACCCACCTTGTCCAGATGGTCAAGACCATCCTGGACAACATGGCAAAACCCCGTTTCTACTAAAAATACAAACATCAGCCAGGCGTGATGGCACACGCCTATAATCCCAGCTACTCTGGGGGCCAAGGCAGGAGAATCGCTTGAACCTCGGAGGCAGAGGTTGCAGTGAGCCGAGATTGCGCCATTGCACTCCAGCCTGGTGACAGTGCGAGACTTCTCAAGAAAAAAAAATGCTGAAAATATATTTATCAAGGCAAATGCCCACATAACTTGACAGTTTTTAAAACCTCATGTGAAAACTTGCACTCTGTTTAAGTGACCCGAGGTTTACAAAAGGATATGAGAAGGTAAGCACTTTCATAATCACTACATTCTTTATTGCCTGACACCTGTTCCCTGCCCTCATCCAGAATTTTCCAATCCCCTGCCTCTCATCCTTCTTTTTAATCTCTTTAAATTTCTACTTTCTGTCCAGCCTAGACTCGAGGCCTACCACATGCAGTGATGCGACAATGGAACTATGGCCCTTGCCACCTTCTTGTCTTTCTGCTTCACTCACCAAGAGACATCTAAGCCTCAGTTGGTTCAGTGACTTCCCTCTTTCCTCTCTGACTCCCAGGACACTGTGCCTGTTGGGGAAATGGTTCCATCAGCACAAAAAACGGGCCAGCCTCAGGGCTCCCCACTGCTCACTTAGGACCTCGCCTGTGCCCCATGCAGGCCACCTCACTTGTCACAGACACCACTTTCTGTCCTCATCACTTTTGGAACTGACTGTCCCACCTGCTTAGAGAGTAACAGGAAAACAACATCTCCTTGGATATGCCAGCTGGCATGGACCCTGCATGAATGGGTTGGCTACTCCCTGTCTGCCTGCCCTTCGTCATCTTCTTTTCAGCTATTTCCTCCTCCCTCATCTCCTCAGGAGATCCCCTGTGTGTCTCTGGTGGGGGCTGGCTCCATGTTTTCTCATTATGCTCAGGGTCACACTCCGGCTTGTCTTTTTCCTTCACCGTCCTCCTGTGCACAGAGGATGTGGTGTTCTTTTCCAAGTGAATGCCTATTTGCAGTTGAAAATCAATGAACTCCACCAGAAGGAGTCTTGTGTATTAACCACTGTAATAGCTGTAGCAAAGATTTCTCGTGGAAGTTAGAGAAGGCAACTTCAAAAGTAAAACCAAAACATTTATCAAAACCTTGGTTTGATAAGGTTCTAAGTTTAAAGAAATCTCTACGAATGTGCCTATTATGTAAGAAAAAAAGAAATCTCAATTGTCAAGACTCAGTTAACTGCACATCTCTCATACCACACAACAGAGCTTTGCTCAGTAGTGTTTTCTGTCACGATCTAAGTTCTTCCTTTGGAAATGCAAAGTAAACACCCAAGAGAAACGGCAATCCTACCAGGCAACAGGACAGACTCTGAGATGTCCCTTGGGTATTCCAGGGCTGGCCCAGCAGCTGGCTTTGCCCTTGAAAGTATGTGATGGACGTAAAGTGGCCTCAGTGCAGTCCAGAGGAACTGAAGAAAGCCAGGAAGGGTGTGTCACAGATGCCACATACACAAAGCTGCTGCTAAGTCAGGTGGACAGAAAGTCAGTGTCTATTATATTGACTGCTATGTAGGTGACTAATCTTAGTGTGGGTCATTTTAGCTGTGTGAATGGAAGTAGTCAAGGTTAGGGGCCGGGTGCAGTGGCTCACACCTGTAATCCCAGCACTTTGGGAGGCTGAGGTGGGCGGATCACAAGGTCAGGAGATTGAGACCATCCTGCCTAACAGGGTGAAGCTCTGTCTCTACTAAAAATACAAAAAATTGGCTGGGCATGGTGGCGTGCACCTGTGGTCCCAGCTACTTGGGAGGCTGAGGCAGGAGAATCACTTAAACTTGGGAGGTGGAGGTTGCAGTGAGCTGAGATTGCACCATCGTACTCCAGCCTGGTGACAGAGTGAGACTCCGTCTCAAAAAATAAAAAAAATAAAAATAAAAAAAATAAAAAAAAGCGCACCTGGGAAGTGAGAAAATAAAAATCAAGTATAGATAAAGTACATTGCTCTTTGGCTGGGAGGATAAAAAATGGCGACAATGGGGCAGATGCAGAATGTGTGGGGCCAGAAGCTTATGCAGTTTGGGGGAAGCTTTTTGAGAAAGAGGATATAAAACTGTGAAAATGAAATGAATGCAAAAATAAAAATTTATTAGAAGGAGCTAATGCAAATCAGGGCCTGCAGCTTAGGCTCCCTGACTCCACAGGGAACACCCTGTGCTGTGGACACTGCTGCTCCTCAGGGCACACTGGGCAGGGAACTCCTGCCATGACACCACACTCTCTCAGGGGCCCGAGGGTCCTGTCTCACACAGACTCATCTGACATGCGACCCACCTCAGATCTAGCACAGGCGTGGGTGCATTTTAGGAGCACAGTAAACACCTGTTCAACACAGTGATTGAATTTACAGACAGGGCCAGTTTAACATCTGTTAAACACATCCTCATCATAAGGTATATGAAAGCTCAAGTAGGAGACATACTTTTCAGAAATATTCCCCTCAACTTTCCAGAGTTTTAACACTTCATAAAGTTCACAGAAATTCTTACCGCTTTTGAGTGGTTGTGAGGCAAGGCCTCATGGTAGATAACAGAGGAAGCATGTAAACAATGGTTGACACAAATGATTCTTACCACCTCAATGCTAAAATGTGTAGGAAACAGCCATGTAACAAAACATGGAGCACAAAGTGAGGGAAATCTGTATTTACTGACATGGGAAGTGGTCCATGTTATTTTGCAAAGTGGGTGGAAAAGGATATAAAACAGCATTTTTGTAAAAATCTCATTTCTGTTTAACAGAAAGTCCCATTAAAATATACATGTATTGATATATGTTTGTATATATTTGTAAAAATGCCTGGAAAGAGGGAATGATAACAGTGATGTCTAAGTGGTGGGAATACAAATCATTTTTATTTGAATTAAAAATTATTTATAAAAGCAATCTTCTTACATTTTTAAAAGAACATTTATTGTTTTAATAATATGGAAAAAAGATGGCATTCCTAATCTGGAAAAAAATATTATGTCATTCCCACTTTGGAAAAAAAAATAAGAAAAGGCACAGAATAGAGGAACAGAGTAGACACAAAATAACTGAACAAATTAAATGAATAAACACTGGAAGAGAGAAAATAAATATTTTTTCCCATTAAGCCTACTCTTTATTATGAATTCACGACCATAACTTGCATGCTACTCTTCTGGGGACTGGAAGAACCACTATGAGCTGGTGGGTCCTACACATCATCCAAGACAGGGCTACCCGTAGTGGGGTCTGTAAACCACTGCTGGCCCACAAACTGCCACCTGTCCTCAATGAGATGAACAGAAGGAAGAACTCAGATCGTGACTGAAAACCAAAATATTACTGGATGTTGGACCCTGCCGACATCCAAGTGCAGAATCATTTTTCTAGTAATGTCAGTGACAGACTGGCAAAAAATAATTTCACCACAGATAGTTTGAGAAGTTCAGAGCTAGAGCACTATCCTCATTTTACAGCTGATGAGAATGAGGCCCAGAAAGGTCAAACGTCCATTCAAGATCACAGGATTGACCAATGGTCATGTCAGGAAAAAAGTACATGGTCTGTCCACTACACTACGGTTTTATGTCCTAAGAATTGGGTTTTTGTCAATGGAGCAAGGAGCAGTTACTTGTTACACAGTTAAGCGTTCTTAAGAAGATTGGCCCTGTCTGTAAATTCAAGAGAAAACAGAATTTAAAACATTCCTTGGTGGCTTCAATTCCAAAGAATCCATAAACATGGCCTTAACTTCCTGTCCTCAGACCTCTGCCCACATTTTTTTCTTTCCACCCCAAACTCCAAGTGTCCAGTTATACCCACTCTAAAACACTAGCCCCTCCGGGAACTGCTGCCTCTGAGCCCTCCTCTGGAGCAAAGACCCCCCCCTCTCAGTCCCATAGCTCTGCCTTGAGTGCCTTGGGCACCAGGGCCAACTCCCATGTCTCACTGTGTCCTCCACATACATGGCAGATTGTAATCAATGTTTTCTGAGCAAATCAACAGAGAGGCTAACACAGAGCAATGCATGAGAGAACCTGCAATCAATGGCCTTGAGGAAGTGACTGGTAATCTTACCGCAGAAAATGTAATCAACAAGCAAATAACCACCGGTTTGTACTAAGGATATATATTCTTTTCAGTAGTTTTGTTGGCTTTTGTCAATAATACATAAATTGTACAAGACATTCTTGTAGTCATTATTACATATATGAACGTTTTTTAAAAACTGTATTTTTTCGTTTGGTTAATCTTAAAACGAAATCTTTGTGATATCTTAATACTGAATCTCTTATTTTTTTTTTTTTTGAGATGGAGTCTTGCTCTGCTGCCCAGACACTGGAGTGCAGTGGCATGGGTATCAGCTCACTGCAACCTCTGCCTCTCCAGTAGCTGGGATTACAGGCATGTGCCACCACGCCCAGCTAATTTTGTATTTTTAGGAGAGACGGGGTTTCTTCATGTCAGACAGGCAGGTCTCAAACTCCTGATCTCAGGTGATCTGCCTGCCTTGGCCTCCCAAAGCACTGGGATTACAGGCGTGAGCCACCTCGCCTGGCAGAATCTCTCTCAAGAAATGAAACCAAAAAGGTTTTCTGCTCAACTCGATTGTATATTTATTTTCAATGCATTTTGGTAATGACTGGAAATTTGGGTATATGTACCAATGGTATATTAATTTTGAATGTCACATGCTATTTTGTCAATCTGGCCAAAATAAAGCATTTCTTGGCACTGTATCTTGATTGCTTTGGGGGGAAACTAGCAAATATTGAAACAGCATTTCTCTATTTGAAAATTTAGAAATTTGATTTAAAAACTGAATACATTTTTATCTTTAGCAATGAAAATATTCTGTATTTTGCCTATTATTTCTTTACTTTCATTTTCTTCTTAATAGTTTACCTTTATTCTCCAACCTTCTTCGGTGTGTTGGCTGTTTTTCTCTTCCTTTTTCATATTTAAAATATTCATTCCTCAAGCCCTGCTTTTCCCATTTTGCCCTATTCCAAACATAAACTCTTGCTTTGGCAGACCTCTTCGTTTGGTAATGTTTTTCATGTTCAGTAAAGTGGAAAAGCAAAACATCTTCTAAAAAAACAGCACGGCTACATAGCTTGCAGTATCCAGGGGCTGGTCCACACCACTGTGGGGGTTGCAGTGTTCAGGAATGGAGGGCTGAGAGTGAGTCTGTCTTGCCTGGCCAACAACCTAGTGCCACAATTGCTTCTTGCTGGCACTAATGAATGTACAATGTACAGAGTTTTCTTCTTACCCAAAAATGTGGATCCCCCAAGCACAAAAGGGAGATCAGGTTTCTTTTCCATAATAGTTCCAGAAAGAGAACTAATTTCTCTGAAAAATCATTTTAGATAAAACTTCTAGTTTTAACATTTTAAAACAGGAGTTAGGGGCTCAGCAAGAGAAATTACCCTGACCCACACAAACCTGAATTGGTTTATCTTCCTCTCTTAAGTTTATATAAATCTTTGTCCATTTAAAAACAATTTTAAAAATCCACCGCCTTATTTATTTTATGTCTACTTTTCACCTCTTAAATCAGCTTCTATATCCTGAGTTGGTATTTGATCAAGGTAACCCTTCAGAAGCATACAGCCTGAGTACTTCTGAAACTTCGGCAACAATAAAAATCACCTAGAAAACTTGTTAAAGCACACACAGGTTCCATTGTTGTAGAGAAGTAATTGTCTGTCATGGTCCACAGGACTTTCCAATTAAAATTATGGCTTCAAATTAAGCTGTAAGTTATTTCATGTTGTGGAAAATTGTAATTATTTGTCTGTTAGTAGTTACCCACTAAGATAATATGAAATCCATTGCACTTCCTCTCCCTGGGAACTCACTTTTGCCAGAGTTTTATCCTCAAACTAGAGTTTTAGTTATTCTCCTATTATGTCAGAGCAGAAAAAAAATTTCAACTCTGTTTTCTTATAGAAGTTCCTAACATCACACATTTGAGCTACAGAAGGGTGACATTCTGAAAATTAGCAGATAACAGTTGTAGGCCCATATGAGATACCTGTTCTCTTACTTCTTTCATTTTTTCCAACCTCTTCAGTTTTCTGGCATATTCTTGAGCATCTTTTAATCCAAGATCTGTGCAGAGACGAACCAAGAAACGCAGACCTAAATTGTAAAATATACATTTAGGAAAGAATACAGGCACGGTCTATTTGTTAAAAGCTCCATAAATCAATGAAGTCAGTCTTTTGGGACACAGGTAGGAATGATCCTTACAAATAGTGTTTTTCTCCTGAAAAATAATTACACTTTGCAATCTCTGGACCAGGGAGAACTGAATTCCTTGGAAGGGGGATTAAAGGGTCTTTCTCCATGAGTCCTATCCTCACGCTGCCAGAAACCTAGAAGGAACATGGCACAGGACAGTGCTGGGATAGAACTTAAAGGTAAATGCAACATTTGCTAATGTTCTATAGCAGTTTCATAAAGACATACAAAGAGCTGTAAGAGAGACTAGGCTAAAAAGTATAGACAGTTTATACACATAACAATCATTACTCACAAATGTTCTTATTACTGTAGTAAATTCATTTTAAAAATAAATATTACACTATGTGCAAAGTACTGGGAATATAAAAAAGATGTATTTTATAGTTGCTGGTCTTACAGTTGACATCAAATATATATAAAATAATCACAACAAAAAGTTTTGTGTTCATGATGTCTTATATACATTAACAACAACAAAGTCTTCGATAACTTTATACATATGACCAGATGACATACTGTTTAGTTCTGCTTGGCACTGGGTCTTATAATGGTATTGTTCTGTATACAGTCTCCTGGAATTTGCTTTTTCATTCAATCTTGTGTTTCTAAAATTAGCAACATTTAAAAAACATCCAGTAGATGCTAAAAAACACAATTGTTTTGTCTTTACGTTTATAAGAAAGAATGCCCTTTGCCATTTGTGGTCTAAATTACTTTAAAACGTTTTTATTATCTCATTTAAAAACAATATTTTTCCTCAATACAACTGCAGTGCAGGTCATTATAGAGAATTTGTAAAACAAAGAAAAAAATAAAAGTTACTTGTTACTTGTCCATCCAGAGACAAAACCAAACATTTTTATATATCTTTTTTTTTTTCTTTTTTAGACGGAGTCTCACTCTGTCACCAGGCTAGAGTGCAGTGGCACAATCTCGGCTCAATGCAACCTCCACCTCCCAGGTTCAAGTGATTCTCCTGCCTCATCCTCCTGAGTAGCTGGGACTACAGGCACCCGCTACCATGCCCAGCTAATCTTTGTATTTTTAGTAGAGACAGGGTTTCACTAAGGATGGTCTTGTTCTCTTGACCTCGTGATCCACCCACCTTCGCCTCCCAAATGCTGGGATTACAGGCATGAGCCACTGCGCCCAGCCTATATGTCTTTTTATGCTCTTCTCAGTTACTTTATAGTGGAATTACTGAATCCGAACATTATGACTAGTTTGAGACTCCTGATATATATTACAAATCTGCCCTCCAGAGGCATTGTACTAGTTTATACACCCAGTAGATGTGTATAAGTGTCACTGTTTTCTTTTCCATAGTTGAATGCTACTTACACAATAGGTAAGACTTGTAGCATATATTTTCCTATCAGCATCAAGATTTAAATGGTATTTTCTGACACTCTCACAAATGAGGAGGAAGGTAGCATATGCATATTTCTCATTTTTCCCCTCACCACAACTACCACTTAAATTATGTCTTATAATTATTTAGACCTAACTCTATGTTAATTTCTACTCTCACTACTTGTTCTGAAATTTAAAAATTTCCCCTTTTAGATAACTAACTGGCTAGCCATATGCAGAAGACTGAAACTGGTCCCCTTCCTTACACCATATACAAAAATCAACTCAAGATGGATTAGAGACTTAAACATAAAATCTAAAACTATAAAATCCTGGAAGATAACCTAAGAAATACCATTCCGAATAGAGAACTGGGAAAAGAATTCTTGACGAAGACACCAAAGGCAATTTTAACAAAAACAAAAATTGACAAATGGGACCTAATTAAAGAGCTTTTGCACAGCCAAACAAGCAATCAATAGAGTAAACATACGACCTACAGAATGGGAGGAAATATTTGCAAATTATGTATCCAACAAAGGTTGAATATTCAGAATCATAAGGAACTTAAATTTACAAGCAAAAAACAAACAATGCTATTAAAGAGTGGGCAAAGGACATGAACACTTTTCAAAAGAAGTCATACATGTAGCAAACAAGCATATGAAAAAATGCTCAACATCACTAATCATTACAGAAATGCAAATCAAAACCACAATAAGATATTGTCTCATACCAGTCAGAATGGCTACTACTAAAAAAAAAAAAAAAAAAAAAAAAAAAAAAAAAAAAAAAAAAAAAAAAAAAAAAGAAAAAAGAAAAACAGATGCTGGCAAGGTTACTGAGAAAACGGAATGCTTACACTACTGGTGGGCATGGAAATTGGTTCAACCATGTGGAAAGCAGTTTGGTGATTTCTTAAAGAACTTAGAATTACAGGCCAGGCATGGTGGCTCATGCCTGTAATCATAGCACTTTGGGAGGCTGAGGTGACAGGATCATGAGAGCTCAGGAGTTCGAGACCAACCTGGGCAACATAGTGAGACCTCGTCTCCATAAATACAAAATTAAAATAAAATAAAACCATAATTACCATTTGATTCAGCGATCTAATTACTGGGTATATATGCAAAAGAATAGAAATCATTCTGCCATAAAGACACATGCACATGTATGTTCACTGCAGCACTGTTCACAAGAGCTAAGACACAGAATCAACCATCAGTGGTAGACTGGGTAAAGAAAATATGACATATATATATATATATATATATGCGCCATGGAATTCTCCACAGCCATAAAAAAGAACAAGATCATGTTCTCTGCAGCAAAATGGATGGAGTTGGAGGCCATTATCCTAAGCAAACTACTACAGGAACAGAAAACCAAAAACTGCATGTTCGTGCTTCTAAGTGTGAGCTAAACCTCAAGTACATATGAACATAAAGAAGGGAACAACAGACAGTGACGTCTCCTTGAGGGCAGAGGGTGGGAGAATGGTGAGGATCAAAAAACTACTTATCGATTACAATGGTTATTACTTGGGTGATAAAATAATCTGTATGCCAAACCCCCATGATATGCAATTTACCTATAAAATAAACTGCACACATACCTCTGAACCTAAAAGTTTTAAAACACTTCCCTTTTTAAGCACTAAAGTTTGATTCAGCTTTCCAGTGAACTTCCAAATTAAGTTTTCAAGTCAACTCTTTATTTCCCCAAGAAGGGGAGATGAGTATGTTTTCTAAGCTCTTATATTCTGTTGTTTTATATGCAGAGGTAAAAGAATTCTTGAGACTCTGAAGATATTGTTTCACCACCTTTGGTATTTAGTGCTTGGTATTTCATGCTGCTGATAACTGCCCAGTTTTTCTTCCTTTGCAGAATAGCAGATCTTTTTTTTTCTGCTGTAGAATGTTTGCTTTTACTATGTCTTTGATTTTGTATTTTATCACAAGTGTTCTATTTTAGTCCATGGGAAAACTTACAATTTCTAGTTGTATTTCTCTTACTTCTTTTCTTTTTTTTAGAAGTTTTGCTCTTGTACCCCAGGCTGGAATGAAATGGTGTGATCTCAACTCACCACAACTTCCACCACCTGGGTTCGAGTGATTCTCCTGCCTAAGCCTCCTGAGTAGCTGGAATTACAGGTGCCTGCCACCATGCCCAGCTAATTTTTGTATTTTTAGTAGAAACAGGGTTTCACCATGTTGGCCAGGCTGGTTTCGAACTCCTGACCTCAGGTGATCCACCTGCCTTGGCCTCCCAAAGTGCTGGGATTACAGGTGTGAGCCACCACGCCCGGCCTTCTCTTACTTATCTTCTGTATTTCATCTTATTCAATTTTTGTTCTTAAAATTATGGAATAAATAGTTTTCAATTACTACTATGATTTTCAGCTCTGTACTACATCCAGGTGGATTTTAATTCTGCTATATATTTTTAGTTTCACTATCATCTTTTCTTATGTATTGTCCTATTACCATGCTCCTTCTTCTGTAACATCCTATTACCTTTTCGCCTCACCCTGTGAGTTTCTTCCTCTGAAGTAAATAGAGGTTATGTGTTCTGTGAATCTTACAGAAGGAGCCAAATATTTCTACACCGTAATAATTTTTTTGAGCTCTTCTATTTTTCTAGGTAATAAAAACGACTTTTTGTCTTTTTGCCAGGTGCAGTGGCTTATGCCTGTAATCCCAGCACTTTGGGAGGCCGAGACAGATGGATCACCTAAGGTTGGGAGTTTGAGACCAGCCTGACCAACATGAAGAAAATCCTGTCTCTACTAAGAAAATACAAAATTAGCCAGGTGTGGTGGCGCATGCCTGTCATCCCAGCTACTTGGGATGCTGAGGCAGCAGAATCACTTGAACTCGGGAGGTGAAGGTTGCAGTGAGCCAAGCTCGTGCCATTGCACTCCAGCCTGGGCAACAAAAGCAAAATTCTATCTCAAAAAAAATAAATAAATAAAATAAAATTAGCCGGGTGTGGTGGCGCGTGCCTGTAGTCCCAGCTACTTGGGTGGCTGAGGCAGGAGAATCGCTTGAAACTGGGAGACGGAGCTTTTGGTGAGCTGACATCACACGACTGCACTCCAGCTTGGTGACAGAACAAGACTTAAAACAAAAACAAAAACAATAGCCAACTATTTTTTTTAATGGCATTTTTTCATAGTTCTGTACTGACTTTCTTTCTCTTATTTGGGTTGAAATGAAGAAAGATGTATCAAGACCTTGTATTTGCCAAGAGTTAAGTGTATGGCCTGGCCTTAGTTCCTGTACTTGGTCTCTAAGGTTGTTGATTAAAAGATTCTTCTGCTTCACTAGGCTGACTTTTTGTTTTTTTGAGATGGAGTCTCACTCTGTCGCCCAGGCCTATAGTGCAGTGGCATGATCTCGGCTCCCTGCAGCCTCTTCCTCCCAGGTTCAAGCAATTCTCCTGCTTCAGCCTCCTGAGTATGGGATTACAGGCACGCGCCACCATGCCCGGCTAATTTTTGTATTTTTAGTAGAATCGGGGTTTCAACATGTTGGCCAGGCTGGTCTTGAACTCCTGACCTCATAATCCACCCACCTCACCCTCCCAAAGTGCTGGGATTACAGGCATGAGCCATCACGCCTGGTTAGGCTGACTTTTAAATACTCTCCTGTATGAGGAAGGTTCTAGCACCTTTTAAAAGTTAACCTGGGCAGCCCCCTGGCACCAAGCAGCCTGAAAGTGCCCCAGCCCAGAAGCTAAAAGTTAACCTACCTATCCTATACTGTTATTCCTTTCC